CCTCGGGCCTGCGGGCCTCGCCTCAGGGCTCGGCAGGGTCGGTGGCCCAGCAGGGGCCCAGCCTTTCCCTCTCACCGGCGTTGCCATCGTCGCTGCCTCCGAGGTGGAGAGGCCAGGCCCGTGCCTGTGGGCCCCCTGGACATGTGCATGTTACCTGCTAGCTTAGCATTCACAAACTACTAGGTCCTGTTCATAGAGCCGCCCTGTTTGCCCTCGAGGCTCTTTCTCTCCTCGTGCTCTGTCCCAGCACCTGAGGGAATTGGAGGGGACCAGGCCACCGGTAAAGGCAGCCAGCTGTGCTTGCAAAGGGTGACATCCATGTATGCTGAGGGGACAGCGACATGGGAGCCTACAGGCACGGCCCACATAAAGGCCTTTGTCAGGGGCTTTTGAGCAGACTGAGGCATGTGTGAGAATGCTTACTTTTGGTCACAGAAATTATTAAAATCTCTTTTCAAAGCTGCTCCAAAGACTCATGTTTGGGCTGAGACTGTGGGTGAATTTTAGCAGATGAGTGGGGGAGAACTTTACTGGACTCTAAACAAGAGAAGCCCCTCTTTAAAAACATTACTGGTACAAAGCTATACTGCTGACAGCAAAGTAGGATGTGGGTATATCTAGAAAATTTTAGGCAGGGTTATTTTCAGGGTTGATCATAATAGAACAAATGTCCTAATACAGAACAGCCAACCTGCACACAGGGTTTAGCATTTGTGGACACAACTGTTAAGATTAACTTCAAATTTTGTTTTATCTGTTCAGACTTTGGAAATCCTTTACTGTGTTTCTGTCCCAACACATGATTAAAGTTTTAGTTTTAAGACCTGCAGAACAGCTGGCATCTCATATAAGTGGACCCTGCCTTTGCCAACCATGGAGAGTTGGCATCTCATAGCAAGAGTCCAAACAAAACAGAAAGGATTAAGATGCAGTGGCAGTTTTGGTTATTAAGATTGGGGGGAAAAAATCTTCAGCTGGAGACTTTACCACATGTGATTTCTTTAAAGCAGATTGCTACAGCAGGCAGATTTTCTATGCCTGCTCTGTTTCATTTCTCCTGGGGTCCCAGTCCTCTGTGATGAGAGCAAACACCTCCTTTGCTTTGTGCTCACAGAAAGGCTCAGTCTTTCTTTGTAAGATGGATGGAGTCTTAAAACTAGTTACTGGAAACAGACAGAAGGAGGCTAGTGGGTTTTTGTTGTTGTTTTGTAAGCTTAGAAACCATAAAAATACATATTTTCTTCATCTTAAACTTGTCTAGGGATTTACAGCATCCCTATCTCAGAAGAGCAAAACTGCTTTGAATGGAAGGAAATCTGCAACAGATGTCCTGAAGCAGGAGCCCCTGGCACCTTTGCGGGTAGGTAGGCTATATTGCTCGTAGGAAAGTATGTCGACTTGTTCAGTACCAAGTTTCTAGCACTTTAAGTATCCAGACGTTCTTCAGTCTTCACTGTTTGCCTGTTTATTTTATATCAGAAATTAGTTCAGTGCTGATGAGGGTGTGCTTGCTGTTATTTATCTATGCAGGTAATAGAGTGCACTGCTTCCTTTAATCGGTCATTGCAAGATAAGAATAAACTGTGAGAATCCTTCCCCCCACTTCTCAGAGACCACGAGGCCAGATATGCTTTACAGCATTCCCTGGAGCTTAGTAGACTTGGGCTATCTGGAAAAAGGGGAGATTGTTTTCAGAGCAGGGGGCTTCCCACAGGGAATACCAGCCTCTGTGGCAGGCACAACACTCTGCAGAAGCCATGGGGCACATGTAGGCAAAAACCTCTTCATTTCCAGATGGAGAGAGGCAGGGTGCCTTCTTTCCAAAACATGTAGTTGTGTCCTAATTGTATGCCTCTGTTGTACTCTCTGTGTCTTTTGTGTCCTCTGTACAGAGAGGGCAGGAAATCATGTTGGAGGAAATGCCCTCTAGCCTGCCACAATGCTAAGGCTCATATGTATTTCTGTGTTTGGAAGCTGTCCTACAGCGGCTGAAAAAAATACAGAATTGTGGTAGAGGACTGGGATGTTGTGACCTATTCCACTGAGAATCTTTTAGTTTTCCTTGTGTCTGATGAAAGGAGAGAAAGTTTACGAAGTTATGCAGGAGGGAAGGGAAGTCTGATACCACGTGCATTACATTGGCTTTTTTCCTTCCTTTCGTTTGTCCTGGATTATGTGGCAGAAGTGAGGATTTTTTTATAGAAGCAGTTGGAGTGAAGGACACGAGCTTGCAAATTTGAGAAAGGAAATTTTCCAAACTTGTATGGGCGAGGCCCTGAGCAATCTTGTCTCTGAGGTTAGCTGTTCTTCAGGCAGGCAGTGGCACCAGATGAACTCCCAAGGTCACTTCCAACATATGCTTTCCTGTGGTTTCTGACTCTTACGGTCGGAAGAGAAAGGAAAACATTTCTGTGAGGAGGCAGGAATATCCAGGCAGGTGTGTCTATCAGTGCATAACAGTAGGGAATATGAAATGAAACAAATAAAGATGTAGATTAAAGACTTCACCTTGAGTCAAGGGTAAGAGATTTGAATCTGCAGTCTAGAGAGGTCAGCTGGGAGTCAGATACTATCACTGAAGTGTTGGGTTGGACAGAGTGAACTCTTAAAAGTCGTCTTGTGCAAAAAAATGTTATCTTGTATGAATACCTGATTCAGAGAGTCTTTGTAGATTCTTGTAACTAGATGTTGCCAAAAATAATTCAAGAACAGATTTTTTTTTCCATAGCTGAAAGATCTCGCTGAAGAACGTGGAGGTCAGTATCTCTGCAGAAGTAAGCTTTTCTTTTGATACACTCTTTACCTAAGTAAAGTAAAGAGTAAAATTTTGTGACTACACTGTTTCCTGGAAGCAGTGTTTCTCCAGTGAATCTGAACCAAACAGAGGTTTAAACAGAGGTTTCTGTAAAGGGCATTCTGCCTCTGCGGTTCTGCTGTCTCTCTGTTATAAATTGATCCAAGTATACCGGTGCACGTACGATAAAAGAGATGGAATTTCCTGTTTGGAGCTCACAGTTAGTGCTTCAGCATAAGCCTCATCCGGGAGAACTAACTTTAAAAACCACTAAAATGTAACCATCCCTATCGTGGAATGTAGCGGTTATTTGAAAGTGACTTTTACGTAATTGAAAAAGGTACAAGGGAAAGAAGTAGAAGTCAGGAGGTGGAATTCGGTAACTCTGAAATGTTTTCAAAACTGACAAGCATTCTGAAATAATTTGTGAATTTCTTTGTTCTTTGAAACAAAGTGTACTATCTATTGCATGTGGAGATGAGGACAGTTACTATCAGAGGGGTTATCTGACTATAAACCTGGTACTTCATCTCTCTGTTTAACTTACTGCGATAGGGAAATGCTGCTGGTATCAGCAGTTAGAATTCCTTTAGAGATTTGTTTCATTGTTTGGTGGGAACTGTAAAAAAGCTAGGTTTTTGCTGTTTATACAATAGTCATATATGTTCTTGAATGTTTTCGTGTTTCTCCCAGACTAGTTCAACAATGTGTACTGTGAATAGCTCAGACACTGACTGGCTACTAAGACTTAAGAGTCCAAGACCTGTGAGAGACCGTGATCAGCAAAGGCCTTGGCAGGTGAGTGACTCTCCACATTCCTTCAGCTGTAGATTCTACTGTGAAGAACCAAAGTTCAGGACACATGAAACCAGTAGGTGTAACTGGGATCCCAGGATATTGGGGTGTAACTGAGCTCCTGTCTTGGAACTGGCCACCTAATACCCACTGAAGTTCTGGACAGTGGTCTGGTCTGTCTGTCTGTCTGCTCTCCAGGACTGCTGTCCCTGGCACGTGCCTGAATTCAGTAGTGAGTCCTACTTCACTGGAACGTCTCTGCTTTTGTCCCTCCCTCCTACGCGTGCTCAGAAATGTGTGTTACAGGAAGGTGTGTGTGCTCTGTCCTTCCTGTCACCTTGTAGGTTGAGGCTGTCTAGCATCCAAGCACTGCATGAATCTTCCAGAGGCATCCCAAAAGTTAATGCTGGTCAGCAGTATTAGCACATTCAGAAATGATATCGCAGCCTGTTTCACGTGCGCCTGAGTAGGCTGCTGACTCAGTAAGTGGTGTCTTAAACTCTGAGTGTGTAGAACTGAAGATATTTTTATATACATCTATCTTCAAAGAAACATGCCCCAACCATTAAAATCATGGCTCTAAATTGGGATATCCCAATCTCCATTGTTTCTGTTTCATCTGTGTGAAATGTTCTCCTTCTCCTATCCTCAAATATTCCTGAGAACTGCTACAAGGAATTTTTTTTTGTACTTCCTGCACAGAAATAATGAGGTTTGCAAGGCAGTATGGTGTGAAGATGTTGGGTGAACTTGTTACCTTTCTATCCCAGTTTGTAGCTTGATTGTGGAACCTAGGTGAGAACCTGATCTTTGCAAAGCAGATTGGCTTTTTTGCAGACCTTTTTCTTTTTTTACATTTATCCAGAGGTTCTCCTCAGCATCAGCAAAGAGTGGTGCAGCAAATACTTTTGACTGCAGTAGACGTTTTGGGAAGAAAAATAATACCAAAGATTGGCTAACACAGAAGGACTTCTGTCATGCAAAGGTATGAGTGGAGGAATGAAATGGAATGGAAGGTATGAAGGGAGGAATGAAAAATGGTTATTTGAAAAGACCTGTAAAATCTGAGATGTTTGTCATTAGGAAGGGGAGCAAAGAACTCTGGAAATAGCGATCCAATGGGTTTTATTGAGCCCTTGCATCCTTTAGCTTTGTTGAGTTCCATGCAATTTGGTGTATGGAAAAGTTTCCTGTAAAACCTTAAACAAGCTTGTGACTAGTTAGAATCATACTCATAGAACAGCGCAGGCTGGAAGAGACCTCAAAAGATCATCTGGTCCAAGGGCTTGTGGGAAAGGGACACTAGATGAGATTTATCTAGCACCCTGTCCAGTCGCATCTTGAAAACCTCCGGTGATAGGGACTCCCTGAGGAGGTTGTTCCAGTGAATGATTGTTTTCACTGTAAATAATTTTTTTCTTATATTGAGATGAAGCCTCTTTTGGTGTAACTTGTACCTTTTGCCCCTTGTCTTCTCCATGTGGCTCCTTGTGAAGAGAGGGCCTCTGTCCTCTTTGTGGCTGCCCTTTAGGTGCTGGAATACTGTGTGAGGTCCTCCCTGAGCCATCTCCAGGGAGAAGACACCTAACTCCTTCAGCTGAAGGAGATCTAACTCCTTTGGTTCTGTAAGAATTCTTCAGACACATGTCATCCTGAAGGAAAACCTTTCACCTGTTCACCAATGTGTGTTCTGAGTATGTTCTGCTAGTGGTTCTTAGCTGGAGAGACGGCTGTCTCCCTGGTGCTGTAAGGTACTAGTTTTAGAAAGGCTTTGTGATTAGGTGAAGTAGATCTGCCAGGTGTAACGCAACTTGCTGCTGGTTTCAAATCGTAGGATGAAAGGGCCTTAAAACACACCAGAAATTTAGATTTCCCCTTTTTCATTTGTTTTGTTTCGGGTTTTTTTTTTTTGATACTGCTTGCCAGTTCCTGCTGCCTTCTCCCTGCTTGCTCTGATATATGGTGTCCTGCCCATGTTACCTCAGGATGAGAAGCCTGTTGGAGGATGGAGCTGATTGATAGGGGAAAGGCAGACATGACTGGAAACTACACTGTTTATTGGGATTAAAAATCAATATTAAGCACAGGGAACAGCAGGCTAATTTTCCGTTCTGTGCATCAGATGCATCCCTCGAGTCTTGTGCTGCTCCCTGTGCTTAATGGCACAGGGAGGCTTGTGCAAAAATGTGATGGCTTGTAGCTCAGTTTTTAAATGGCACAAGGTCACAGCAGGGATGACTTTGAATTCATCTATGGAAACCGCAGGAGGAGAGCAGGGATGATTTTGAATTCATCTATGGAAACCACAGGAGGTAGGCAGCAGGTCAAGTAGATGAAATACGAATGTTTCAGCCCTGCCTCTGGCTTAGGTCACTTGAAGGTTAACTTGGTAGAAATATTTAGTATGTAGGTACTGAAACTGATTTAGAACTTTAGTGATACCTAAGCTGGCATTAGCATCTCTGCAACTCTGGTGAAATGCAAACTTGAAAGTGATCACAATCATACGACTCACTAGTTGAGCCTTCCTGGTGGTTTAACCCAGCACCTTATTTCTCAGTCAGGAGAGGCTGTGAGTGTGCCATTTACAGCAAAGCAGCTGATGTGGTCATTTGTTAAGCTGTAGGAACTCAGTTGCATGCCTGTTCTCTTAGGCTAAGCTGGTGCAAGCGAAGCAAGTTCCTACCAGTGTCTAAACTGAGGGTTAGTCCCAGAAAGCAGTACAGATTGTAAATTTGTTTTAGCTTAACTGAGATAGTCTGTCTAAAACAGGTTGTGTTTTAGTTTCCTGTATTGCAACTTACCTCCTGAATTTTTGGCGTAATGATGAAAAGCTCATAATTTCTTTTTATAGCAGATTCTTCAAGATAAGTTTTGCCGTGGAATTAAAATTCTTTGTGAACTTGTTGCTTATAAAAGCTGCTTATTGATGGGGATGAGATACCCCTATTGTGTGTGTCCTCTCATCTTGCCTGGAGGGACTCCATCCCCAAATGACAGACTGACTTGGTCTGTATTGCTTGTGTTCCTTGGCCAGAGAGCAGGAGTTGCAATTAATAAGCCACATGTTACAAGGAATTACCTGCTTAAAACTCCAATTGACAACAGCAGTACATTGCAAGGGCTGTCGTTCTTAAATCACGTTTTAGTGTCCTGATACTTGCAATGCAGGGAACAGTTTCTCGCTATTCTGATCTTCAGAAGGAGTAAGATGAGGATGATGCTAGAGGAGAACTTGGCTGAGGTCACAACAGTAACTGAGATTTAAAGTACAGACAAATTCATGAGCAGAGGCAGCAGTTGAGGCAGTTTTCTGCTTTGGAGGGATTTTTCTCATTATTGTTCCTTTTACACTTCACTATTTTCCTCTATTTTTCCTTTTATACTTCTATGAATTCGTTGACATAAGACCTTGTCACGGTTTTAATTTGTTTGATTGCTGTTTGTGTAGTGTGGCTGTATCTGCATTGAAAATGAAGGTTGCTGCCTTTATCGCGCACTTGTGAACAAAAGTGGCAAGGAACAAGTGGTGGTGCGGTCGCAGTGAGGAGTGGCCAAGGAGGTGTATGATCTGGTCCCACCGAACGTGTACATTCCAGTTCTTCCAACGCTCTTCTGTTGCTACATTTAACCTAAATGTTCAGAGCAGGTCTCTGCTATGTCCTGTGCAACCTGCTCTAGGTGAACCTGCTTTAGCAGGGGCGTTGGACTAGGTGATCTCCCAAGGTCCCTTCCATCCCTTGCCATCCTGTGATTCTGCCAGCTGGGTTATGGTATAATGTGGCTTTAACTGCAACACAAGTAATCATTTTGAATTCAAAGGTAATTCTAACTCCTACTGTAAGTCCTGCTTTTACTTCATATGTTTTTTGATGTTTTGTTAGGCAGCACCTGATGAAAATCGAGACATCATTGCTTCTGCTCAGTGCATCTTGGACAGAGAAAATTATTTTGTGAGGGTAAGAAGTGGTATCTCTTCTCTCATTTGCTGTGTGCTTTCTTGCACATCAATTTTTTTCTCTCCATCAGTGATTCATGATAACGTCAATTTGTATTCTTGGAAAACTAAATTTAGAAGTACAAGTTTCTGCCCTCCTTGGGATAAGACTGAAATGGTAACCCTAAATATGAGCTTAGGAATTGTCTGTCTTTGGTGACTTACCTCCTGTTTACACCTAACTTTTGTTCTGTGGGTGTGATTAGGTGGTGAGGGTGGGCCTGTGAATAAAGGGCAGGAGGGCTGATCTGATCTAGCAGAATGCCAGTGTGGCAGGGAGAAGGTCCTTCTCCTGCTGCCTGTCTTGCACAGTCTGGTGCTCATCAGAGCCTCACTCTGAAGTGATTTTGACTCATGGATTTTCTGCCAATCTTGCACTACACCTTAAAAAAATTAGATTCTGAGTGCCAGAGTCCATGCAAGGGAGAGGTTGGAAACAAGTGGTGGGACGTGGAGCAAGGGAGTAGCAGAAGGAAGGGCTGAAAAACAGGGCTCTTGCAGCAGTGACCAGCCAGATCAGGTCAGCCAAGCCACGTAGCTTCACCCATGGACTCTTTAACATGATTGATCAATAGGTTGCATGGTTTTTGTTTTCCATTTCTTACTTAGGAGGTGGACAGGTATTTGAGGCACAACGATTTCTTAAATCTGAGAAAGAAGGAGATCCTGTACAAGAAATGGCTTGAGGATGTTTTAGAGCCACTGCTGCAGAAAATTGAGGACAAAATGGACAGCCAGTCAAGCGAAGAAATAAGGAAAAGGAAAGAAGAACAACTCTCTCTCTATTTAAACTACTGTAAAAAGAAGGTATCAATGAGAAGTAAATTTCTGTCGTGGAGAGGGTTGCATACAGAGGGCTGTGGACAAGACCAGGGTTTTATCTGTTATTTGCTGTTCAGTTGAGTAGCCCGGAGTTCAGATATGCCTTACCTGTAACTTACTCTTCTCAAGGATTTCTGTAATGGTGGCATACGTCATTACAGCTGTTTGTTTAAGTTCACCATCAGATTTGAACAATAGTATTGTTTGGTGCAATGAGTACGTGCTGCGGTCTGAATGTGGTGAGACACCATATTGTGGTGGGTTTCACTCTGTGAGCTGGACCATTTAGGGGGAAACCTTGGGCTCTGTCAGCTGAAACCAAAGGCTGAGTGCTGTCACCGGGGAGGGGACCACACTCTCATGTTTCAGGGGTTCAGCTGGAGCGCAAGTGAAATGTGGATTCATGAATTCTGTAGTTCTGTGTGTTTCAGTACTCGTAAAAATTGCAGTCACTGTAGGAAATATTTGCTGGTTTTGTTGATTTTGCTGTGACTATCACACCACTGTTGAGTATCAGATCCCATGACTCAACTTTCTGCATCTCAGGAGTGGATATAGAGCAATAAGAGCAGTTACATCATCTGCCACAAATAGGATAGTATGTTGTATAGAGCAGGCTTTTGTTGTCAGTGGAAACCACTGCAGAGTGGAATTATGAGACTGTAAACAAGCTTCCCATCTGGAAATGAAAATGTCATGGGAGCCGTGTTGCTTTAATGAGAGCAAATGATCTCTTTTTCAAAGGTCTGATGTGAAAGACCTATGCATTTAAACTGCACACATCGACAAAGAGCTGAACCAGTCCTACTGCTGAAGTCGTGGGATTTAGGATATGTTGGGTGTACTGTACACATCAGGGTCTGCATCAGGCCATCTTGCAAGCTTCTGTGTCAGGTCAGGACTTCGTTGGGTGTCCTCCAAAAGCAATGGCTGGTGTACTGGGATGTGTCCTTCTCCCTGAATAAGCACAGGACCCGTGATCAGCCTCCACCTTTTCTCCTTGCTTTGTGGTGTCGGCTCTATCAATCATCAGCACATCTGAAAAGCAGGCTGAAGCCCTTCAGAGTAACAGGACAATTAATTCGCATAAGTTTGCAGCATGTGATAAATTTTGCAGAACTTAAGACACTTCTGTGTATTGGTTAATATACTGACTTCTGGCTGTGCTTTCCCCCCCCCCCCTTTTTGTCCATTTTCTCTTGCTCTCTTCCCTGATATTAGGCTTCTCCTTGTCCTGTTCCCCAGATCTCCTCACCTTCTTGTGTCTCTGTCACCGGTCCATTCCCCCTTTCCACATCTATTCTTCTTCCTCTAGTGTCTCTTCTCTCACTCTTTTTCCCTCTCCAGTCAACCCTTTTACTCCATCCCCAAGTCTCTCACTGTTTTGCCCCTCTTTCTTCTGTCAGACTCCCCAGTGCTCTGTCTCCCTCTCCTTGTTGCTTCTGATGATTCCTCAAAGTTCGCCACTGTCCTTTTTGCTTTCCTTCTCCCTCTTTCCTCCATTCTCTCCCCTGTAACACTCTCTCTCCTCACTGTCCTTCCAGGTTCTTCCATCTCAGTCTTTCTGTCAGCTCGTTTTTCTGCCTCTGTCATGCCATGTGAGCCTTCCTCCTTTCCCTCCTTTCCCTGGCTCTATGTTGTTCCAATATCTGCTCATATGTGGGGGGTTTTGCCTTAAATCTGCCTCCTTTTCACTCCCATTCTTACCTCCTCCTTACTCCCAGTCCCAGGGACACAGACTGCAAATGCATGATGAGATGGTTGGTCATAGCAAGCAGATGGCAGCAGCACTACTTTTCTTCTAGCACCGGCAGAAGCGCCACGCTGCATCCTGCAAGGAGGGGGAAGTTTCCCTGGCCTGGGTTGCTGCTGTGTTAGGCACAACTCAGCTTCTGTTAGTCCAGGATAGTATAGGCGTTGTGTGCTGAAATGCTGCAGAGTAAGAGACCCTTCTGACTCATTTTTAAGACCAGGTTATTGCTCTGCTTTCTGCTAAGGGGTGTGTGACTGATAATGTGTCAACTGCATGCAGGGATCAAACACGAGTGTGCTGCATAGCAGCTATCACAACTGACTGAGGTCTCAGCACGTATCGTAATGGGGTGATATGTAATAATAAACCAAGGGGTGGCACTAAAACTCTGCAAATTGAGGCATGTGAGGGCTTAAAGATTTCCAGGCACAGGAAGAGGAGATGGTGAGTGTGGCTGCTGCTTGCTGTCTGGGGAATTGCCAGATCCTGGGGAGCAGAGGCCACTGCAGAAGCAGCAATGTTCACGCTCAGCAGTAGCTCAAGCCCTGTGGAGCTGCCCCTGTGCTTGCTGAGTGTCTGGGAACAGCACAGGCCCTTGGGGCCTGGCTCACTCACTCAAGTGAGCACCTTCAACACAGTGACCTCTTAAACCTGCTGCAGTTTCCCCCTTTTGTGCGTTTGGACTTGTCTTGTAGCACTCCTGAAATGTTCATGTTAAAGTATGGTTTTCCCAGCTCTCAACTTGAAATCACAGCCACAGATTGCCAGAAAGAACTGTGTAGGCCTGAGACCTAGAGGGCCATCGGCTGAATGCTCCCTTTTCTTCCTGGGACTCCTGGAGAATAGTCTGCACAAAAGCTGAAAAACTTCATTTGCAAGGTGTTGCAAGAATGACTGAGAGTAGTAGGGAGAAGTGTTTTATAAGCTTGTCCTGTTCTTACTATTCTTAGGACATCGCTTGCATCGCTTGTGGCCTCTGTTTTTTTTTTTTTTTACTGCTATATTTTGTTTTGTCATCTGTACAGCTCTTATTTGATGCAATTTAGTTAAGTCCTGGCGTATTGGCCGTAAACAGTGCATTATAATTTGGAGACAAATGGTTGGAATTCACCTTTCTCAGCATCAGGCTTGATCAGTGTGTCAACCTCAGTAGCTGTTCAGCTGCTTGATAGCCTGTTCAATCTGGTATTTTTTGGTCTTGGCATCAACAGTGAACGCCAAGTGGTGGTACTTGTTCCCCAGCTAACTCTGGTCACAGGGAACTCAAACTGCAGAACATGAAGTTTGTGGCAGGCAGAGTTCTTGATGGGATGGGACTGTGGTCTGGACCATTAGGTACAGTTCAGGTCTTTACTCCTATATACAGATAGCAGAGCATGCTCGTGACCTAGACTTGGAGCTCACATCTTGCAGACTAGTAACCTGCCTAGGGCTATGGCTGCTAGGGGCTCAGTCACTTCTTTCTTTTTTTAATTTTCTTTCTTATACCTGTTTCCTTCTCTGTCAAAACATTTTCCCGTGAATTAAATACCCATTTTCTTGACTGCCCTAGATGTGATTAGCATTTTAGCCTGTAACTATTTCTGGCTGCTTCATGAAATAATAAATTATGTCTTTATGGCTCTGACAAATTAAAATGGATGGAGGAGTTTTCCTGTTACACTTCACTCACCTTCTTCTGAGGTGCAGTGTGTGACAATTCAGGAGTCCTTTTCTCCACCACCTCTGGTGCTGTGTTCATACCATGCCTGGCTGCATAATACCTAGGCTGGCTGCTCTCTCACTGTTTTATCACCAATAGCTTCTGAGACCTGACCTGCTGCCTGCTTCTCCCGCAGGGCTATGTGGCTTTGGAAGCTTATGATCCATCAGAGTATGATCCGTTCTTCCTGAAGACATGTACAGACTGCTGGAAGGTGTGATGGTTATTTATGCCGTGAGGTTTGGAGGCACCCTTTGACCATCAGGAAGTTACTGGTTAGAGAGGAGGCAGGGCGTGTTACTGACGTGCTGCTACAGGGCTGGTGTAGAACAACACATTCTCATTTTATTAACTGAACAGATATGGGTCCCAGCTCCTGCTGCATTTAAGCCCAAGAGTGTTTGAAAATGGTTTTCACCGGGAATGTGATCTGGATGCATACTAAGCCCAGATTTGGAGGCACAGTAGACAATGGCAAGGGGGAGGTTTGTTTTCCTCCTCTCAAATTCATTGTGGCAGCATGGGAAGTGTCATGTCTAATGAGGGTTGGTGAACTCCCAGACAAGCTGGGTGTGTGCTTTTTAGAAGGAAGGAATCTGACAGTTCAGATGATCTTTACAGAAACTCATGTAAATGCACCAAAGACTCGGGTACCTAATGGAAGAGTTAGGCAGGACTCGGACACAAACCCATGAAGTGCAATTCTCTAAATCCCTTCTGGATGCTGTGAGCCCTTAGCAGCTGCAGGGACTGAGCTGATACTTCATTGCAGTGTGCCATGCAGGGTTCATCAAGATCAACTGCCTCCAGGAGAGCAGATCTCATGTCTACAGTCTAACTTTGCTGCAGAGTTGTTGAATGCATTACGGCCTGCCTTAGGAGCTGAGATGCTCAGCATTTCTCAGGCCACTCAAGTCGGTGCCTCATGATTTTATTAATAAAAAATGAGGTCAATGCTCCTTACCTCCTAATGGTACCTTGACATTCACCTCCGAGTCTTTGAGACTCTTTGACAAAGTGCTTCTGTTGGTGCATAAGCATGAAATAACTGTCTCTGTCACAGGTTTCAATACCAGCCTTGCAGGATCCTCTGTTAAAAGGCATTCAAAGAAAGTTTATTGAGACAGGCATTATCAAGCAGTGTGAGACAGGTATTTTAAATAATTGGTATCCCTGGGAAGTGTTTCATACTGGGGGGCTATCCTTGCTTGTGAGAGTGGATGTTCACACAAAGCACTTGTTACTTTCCTGCCAGGAAGACCATGCTCTACCAGAGAGCTGAAAGAGCTCAGTAAAGCAGAGCTGCCACTGCTTCCTTTGAGCCGGCAACGTATGGATGCAATTGAGTGGCTGAAGATACCACATGGCTACATTGCTAGCGAGGTCCACCAAATGAAGAGGTAAGAGCTCATGTTTACTGAGAAGCAGCACAACAGCTACAGTGGATGAGGCCTCTCCTTGGCTGCATAGCAGAGTATTTGCTAAAACTTAAATTTCATGGTGAATTCTGCTTTATTGTGTATTTCTCCTGAGAATGGAGCATGGGTGAAGGGAAAGCCTTCAGGTATGGAGCAGAGAGCAGGATGTATTTAAGTAGAGCATTGATGGTCAAGCTGAGCCTTGAAATACAGTGGCTTTTGCTGTGGAGTTTCCTGCATTTGCTGCATGCAGCCTGGCAGCCATCCCTACGGGTCAAGCCACAGAATATCTGCTAGGTGCTTTACTGGAAGATCTCAAAGGATTTATTGTTCATACTTGCTTTGGGTTTTCTGTGTTGGGTTTTTTTTGCTATAAGTTTCTAGATTTTGGGAGCAGAGTGAGGTCATACTTGTATCACAAACTGGTTGAGGTTGGAAGGGACCTCTTGAAGTCATCTGGTTCCAACCCCCCTGCTGAAGCAGGGCCACCTGCAGCCACTTGCCCAGCACCATGTCCAGACAGCTTTTGAGTATCTCCAGGGATTGGGACTCCACAACCTCCCTGGGCAGCCTGTGCCAGTGCTCAGTCACCTTCATAGTAGAATAGCATTTCCTGATGTTCAGAGGGCACCTCCTGTGTTTCGGTGTGTGCTCACAGCCTCTGGTCCTGGCTCTGGGCACCACCGAACTCTTTGCACCCTCCCTTCAGGTATTTGTAAGCACTGATGCGATTGCCCCTGAGCCTTCTCTTCTCCAGGCTGAACTGTCCCAGTTCTTTTGGCCTTATCTCATGTTTGCTCAACTGGCGTCCTTCCACTGTTTAGATACACTGCATCCTGGCTTGAGCCATGAGGCCCAGTAAAGATGAACTCCTGTAAAGCAGGGGCCTGTGCTGAGGGAGCTACATGCCACTCCAGAAAGTTGCATCCTATAGCTAAGCTTCGTAACAGGTTTTTTGGTGTACAGGCTGGTTGGACTCAAAACAGTAGAGATCACTAGTGTGAACTGAACTGGAGCAGTGATGCAGCTGCCTAAGCTGAGAACATGAGAGAGCCCCAGCTGGCCTGCCCTGATAGAGAAGCATTTGGGATCAGGGAAGAGTGATTTTTTTTTTTTTAAATTATGTTGTTGGTTTTTTTAAAGTCCCAGTGCTCTGATTTCACCCCTTTGGAAAGCTCTCCAGTTCTGCCATTGCAGTACACAACACTTAAGGAAACTCCTGCTCCCAGTGACAAAAACATCTGGAGTCTGATGTCCTCCTGAACCAGGCTCACTCTCTTTCCCCCCAGCCCCTGCCCTGGAATTTTATGCCTCTTACTGGCTTTACTCCAGCACATTTACAGCAGGTATGGGATAATGGCACATTCTAGAAGGAAAACTGGTCACAAAGACAAACATTTCCGGGAGTGACTCAGTGTGGGAAAGAGCTGGTGCAGGAAGCTGTGCTGGGCTACAGCAGCCTTCGTGTTGCATGGCTGGCAATAGTTTTTACTTCTGTTTAAAGGCAGAAAATCATCAGCCACCACAAAGACAGCAACAGCCAATGATGTCACCTGTCCTCCAGCTGACTGCAGCAGCAAGCACAGCCATCAGAAGGTACCATTTGCAAAAATACGTTACATCTTCTGCCAAAGCAAGTGATAACAGGCCAGGTCTCCTGGCAAAGTGTAATAAACTCATTGTCTTAAACGTGGTTCTGAAGTACTGTTACCCAGCAGCCACAGAAATATTTGCGATGCTGCTCCTGTTATTTCCAGCTCCAGTCCATGCTCTATGGGCCAAATCCTACTATTTTAGGAGGTTTAACTTAGGCTCAGCCCTACAAAGACAGTGCTGATGGTCTCTGGTTTATCGGGTGACGGAGCCTTTATACTGAAGGAGCTGAACTGGTAAGAAAAGTTAAAGTCTGCTATGCCCCTTTTCTACGCAGCGCAGGACCTATGTTATCGCCAGCTCTGGCAACAGCTACAGCTCTGAGTCTGCTGCATTTCATATTACAAGAAGCATGAACGTTAGTAGTGGGCGGAGGGAATGGCAAAGCTTGCAAAATTTTAGCTACAGCTGTTGTGATTTTGCATGAAGCTCAAAGAGGTCACCTTGAGACTTAAGAACAAACCCTCTCTTTGAATGAGGAGGAGGAAGAGGAGGTGTTCCTGGCTATATGCATGGTTAGCAGATGTGTACAGAGGAGTGGCTTAGAAAGCACTGATAAGGAAATCATGATTTGGTTTTGTTTGTTCAGATCTTTAGGAGAACTCCCATAGTGAACGTCTCACAAAATATTATCTGCAAAATAATGTTAGGGTTACTACCAGGGGTTCAAAGGCCTTTCTCCTGGAGGCAGTGCACAAGCAGTAAATCAAACCTGAATGTACACATTATTGCTCCGAGAAGGCAGGAAATAATTAGGGAAAAGGAGAGGGTAAGTGTTCTTGTACAAAATGTCTACCACTTTTCAGAGAGTCAGTGCTGAGCAACAAATGCTGTCAGTGCCCTACAAATTGGTTTCTCTCTTGTTCCAGAGTGGTTCCTGTCTCCCTGCTGCTGTTAATGCACAGCAGCTCTGGTGTCAAAGCCTGAAACCAGAATTTTCTCTATGCTTCTTCAAGAAGCTCCAAACTCCCACTGTACAGACACAATCTCTCAAGAGTTGCCAAGATTTAGTTTTATTTAGGATTAGAAACACTGAACCACAGAAAACTGTTAAAAGTAACAGAGGTTGACTCAGCCATCTAACAGGAGGGTACACAGATGGCAATCGGGTGTGAACTGTCAGGCATCAGGAGGTATCGCTGCACCCGTGGACAACAAGGGCACACGCTGCTCAGAATTGCATGCTGTGCTTTTTCAACAAAGCAGTTTAAGGAGGCAGTAAAATGGTTACAATGTATCAAAACCTTTATAAACAAACTTTTTTTTTTTTGAAACCATCCCTGATTTTGGTGCCAAGAGAAAAGTCTTTTCTTTCAACCAATCTCATTTTACAGATTCGTGTCGGGGTGACAGTTCCCCCACAGCAAACCTTTTAAACTTGTAATAAACTTTTCTTGAATGTAATCCTATAAGTTTTTCCTCATTATTTCACATTCCCCTGTACAATAAAATATCCTTTTAAAAAAATCACTATGCATCAATAAACATCTGTAGACAAATTACATTAATAAACTTATATTTTACTCTCTATATACATGTTGGCAATGTCAAAGCTTCAAGATTCACATGGAGGTCTGCAAGACCAAGGAAATGTACACAAATAACTTACATTTAGGAAAAAAACAAAAGCTGAATAGTATTTTTCCACATTATCGTGGGTCACAGTATTTAAAATATTTTTTTCTAGTTATTCTTCACAACCACATTGTCTCAGCAGAGAATGAGGAATCGATCTGAAGCAGGAAGAAAAATCAAGTAGCAGTTACCGATTTCAGTGCAGAACTAAGTCAAGTAAAGAACTACACTTGATTCTTATACAATATATCTGAGACTTCTCCAGTGCTAAGGCTTCTTCAGCATTTAATCTTTAAAACTATCATCCTGAGACGGGAAGATTCCAGTGGATATCACTTTTCAGATTACAAATGGAATGATTCTAGTGCTGAGCTAAACCATTCCTCAGTCTGTATGTTAGACTAAGTGGTAAAACATACATACTTCTCGATGCCACATTTCTACTTAATACTTTTTATGGCCCTGAAAATGGAAACATTGGCATCCAAACCCAAGCTATTCCAACATAATAAAAAGGCACTGAGCTATAGGACTGTATCTACAGTAACCTTTGTGTTTGCATAGATCAACAACAACTTTGAATGCTGCAAGGAACTACACGCAACCAGTAACTAAGAGGAAATATGGAAGCAGCAGGAACTTTTGCTTAATAACCAGCATGGGGCAAGGAATCTTTTACCAAAAAATGTTCAGGCTGTCAGCTTCAGTTGTCCTTCATAAATTAAAGAAGTGTTCTTAGAGGAGCGTTTTCTGATCAAAGAGCTGCAGGTCAAAACGGACCCAGACTTCACCTGTTGGAACTTCATGCAGCAGTAAGTGTTTAGTCGTGGGGCCTTTGCTTTCTTGTTCTGTTCTGATTTTTGCTACTGGAACTTCAGTGCGACCCAAAAAATCTGTTGGGCAAATGAGTAAGAAATTTCATTAAGCAAAGACGTTGAGCTTAGAAAATCTGAAAGTGTCAGGTTAAGCAGCAATGCTGCAGTGTGTATTCAGTTTCAGAGCAGTGCTTCCAAGCTTCCTCTTCAACGAGCTCTCAGCCCTGTGTAAATCAGCCAGCAGTGACAAAAAAGGGTCTTTTCAGAAGACAAAAATGCTGTGGAATTAGGATAAAAAACATGCCTTTATGTCACAGTTTGATGTACAGGCTTCAAAAATACAGCTCCCTTTCAGAAACACACTTTCAAATGTTCTCCTGTCTTAGGGCTGGAAGGTCAGAGTTAAGTGATGGAACCTGTTTACAAGTCAGCTGTGGTGCAACGAAGTAAAAAAAATGTCAACTATTTTGGCCCAGCTAGATTTTAATTAGGCTTATGTATCATTCTTTTCACAAGAACAATGACCTTGAACAACTACTGCCACTCGTAGGTTTTCCTTTTCAGAAATTATATGCCCTCTTTGTGGCCATTTCATATATAAACGTCTTTGTGTGTGTGCATGCCTTGGAAAGTTTACCATGAACTATAAAAACAAGAGACTCAGCTGTGCCACAGGGAGGAGCAGCCTAGCAAAGTCACGTTACCTCACTTGAGAAAAGACTGAGCTATAGTTACACAAAGGGCAACTCAGGACAAGGCAGTACCTTGCAAATCTGAAATAACTGTGTGTCACAGCCCTGAAAAAGCACTTAACCTTTTAAAGAGTATTAGAAGCCGCCAACTGCCAAAACCGTGTTCAGTTTCCATGCAAAAAAAAAAAAAAAAAAAAAAAAAAAGAAAGCTTATCAAGCTGTTGCTGTGCAAATATAACCTAGCACCTGATTTTTGGGCATCACCTTTAGTGAGAGAGAAAAATTTCTGCTTTCAATTTCTCTGTCTCCCCAGTCTGACAAAATAATAATTCTGTGTCTGATACAAAAGCCAGAGTAGGATGAAATCTGACTGCCCAGAGCTGTTGGCTCTGGAGGGCTCCTGAACATCTCGAGTAAGGAGGCATTGTTTTTACACAACATTTCTCAGGAAGCAATCACACCTTAGAGGCTCCTGGAACTGCTGGTGAGGAACTGAGCACCCCAAGTCACAAAAAAAGCGTTCTTTTTCCTAAACCAAATGTTCGCACTTACCATCGGGTGAGAACTGGTCTCTGTCAAACATGGTGATACACAGGACGTCCTGATAGAGATCCTTAATGAAGAACTGGCAGTTGAAGTTCCACTTGGGGTTCAAGGTGTCCTGCAGGGTCCTCGTAGTGTAGCTCTGAGAGCCCATGCTGATTTCACAATACGGGTTGCTCTTCCCTAAACACAGAACAAGCAGTGAAACACATTTGCAGCGCAGGAACCTCCCTCCCCGCCTGGAGGCTGCTTGGACATACACAGATGCTGCTGTGCAGAAGATGTGTGTCAGGCAATCCCTACACCTAGAGCAGCATGGAGCTGGTTCTCCCCTCGGCCCTCTGAAACTAAATGACGGCTAATTCGTTCAGAAGCTGTAGCTGAATCCACAATGTTCCTCCAATCACCAAACTTCTCTCAGCAAGCCTTTCCAAATGTTGCAGGAATAAAAGCAATTTGACGCTATTTTCTTCACTTACCATTGGGCTTACAGGCCTTTAGCTCTGTTGCTTCAATCACATGCACCATCAAACGTCCTATTCCTGAGGTCTTCTGTGAACGAGCTGGGGACAAAGAAGTCAGAAATAAATGGATTGGTTGCAACCCTGAAAACTGGCAGTAGGTCTGAAGAGGAAGATTATACACAGACACTGTGGCATCCTCCAGAAAAGGCCCTGCCCACGCGTCTGTGTGGATGAGAGGGAAATACAGAAGCCCACAGGTACCTTGATACGCCTTTTCACGTTTCTTCTTCTCAGTTTCGATGTACTGCTCTGATGCTGCTTTGATTTTCTGGACCCAGGCAGTGCTGCAAAGAGCAATCCCTATGGTCAGGGTCATGCCACAGGCGGGAAAATTCCTCAGTATCAGCAACTCTGCCCCAATCTCTTCTGCCATTTTTTCCCACCCACTGGGTTTCAGAGGCATCACCAATCAAGTTAGATCAAGGACTAAAGAGATGGGAGGTTTTGGATTTAATCTTATGTCACATTTCCACATTGGCCTAAATAAATGAAAGCGGAGCTGCTGTTTTATTAAAAGACTACTAGGTGACATTAAAGACTGATAAGGACTGGGGAAGAATCCCATGGGATGCTGGACTTTGCAGCCCTAAACTATTCTACACAACTGTAACATCACGAAGCAGTAGACGAGACTGGATTCCACTGCAAGAGCTGCCACGCAAGCAGAACAAAATCAGAGAAAACTTGTAATTCAAATGAGTCAGATGAGTTTATTTCCTGACCAAGAAACTAAACCCTGTTCTTGAACTTGGGACACCCCCACATCTGCTCACTGGAAACAGCCCACAGCCATGATCAACAAGTTTAAGCTCAGATCTGCATTTTCGCTACTCACCGCTCATTAATGTTGTCCGTTTTAAGCGTGTAAACTCTGTCAATGTGTGATATGTGGAAAACTGGCTCATCACTTGAAGGATCTGTGGGCAATTTCACTAGGACTTCATTAAGGAAAACAGGCTGAAAGAAAAGCAAATGTCACTGTGGAAGCGTCACCCTGACAGTAAAAGGAAACTCTACAAGGATGTTGAAGTACATTGTAAGGAAAATGAAAGTCATAGGACACAGGACGAACAGTCAGATCACCAGATAAAGGACGTGAGAAAGGACCAAGAGAAAAACTACTCTGGTGATAGACCCCTTTCTGTCTTCCTAGATGAAGAGCTTTGTGAAAGGGGCAGGACTGCGTAAGCAGAGCTGCAGTGTGGAGCTTGGAAATCCTGGAAATCTCCCAGGTTACCTGTCAGAAAGCCTATCTCCCCAGCTCCAGAATCCTGAGAACATGAACTGTGTGGACACAGAGACTAACGTTTTGCACCTTGTACTGTTTTCTAAAAAAGGACAAGTGTTCCCTTGTGATGCAGGAACTTGAGCAAACTTAAGTCAAGGCTCCTGCTTCTGAACATCCCACTCAGCTGCTCAGGCGTGATGCTGTTTCTGCCCTTTCACCTCAGTGTGGACAGAAGTGTTTATTAAACCGAGACACAGAAGCCAGTCCTTTTCCAGGGACTCAGCCAACCGGCATTCGCTCATGTTGGCTGCCGGTACGCGCCCGAATGACGGCAAATGATCAGGTGGGGCCAGACAGCGAATCCCAGCAGGGAGAACAGCATTCCTCATTGGAGTCCCACTGCATCGACATGACCACGGGGCACCCTGATTCACTCACCATTTTGTACATTTTGAACTGGGAGTTGGATTTGGGGCTGAACAGTTTATCGGAGCCGGAAGAGACAAACTGTTTAACCATGTAGGTGAGCAGGAGGAAGTCATTGAAAAGGAAGCCGTACAGCTCCTTACTGCTCTTGGCCTTGTACAGCTTGCCACTGTGCAGGAGCTTCCGTGGTCCCAAGCAGTTTGTGAGGGAGTTGAACACCGGTTGCTAGGAGAGACAAAACCCATTAGCAGCAGCAAGTTAATGCAAGTATCAGTTCCTGCTCCTCCTCACAGTGGGGATTGCTCACACTGCTCAAAATGCTCTTCTGGTTTGTTTAATGACTTTTGTTACAAATGAAGAGAAGGGAAACTGTTTTATGATTTGCCCTGGTATCAGCGCTAGTCCCAACTTAAATCTCCCACGTAGATTTAAGCCTTACCAACAACAAGTCACACGGGTCTGACTGGATGAAGGCATTTACCTCAGAGCCACTTGTCTGTTGTCCAGACGCTGTGTTTAAGAAGAGCCTGCAGTCTCTGCAGTCAGGTCACCTCTTATGGGTGCACGGTTAGGTGACGGAACTAGGACAGACCTTCTGGGCCTGTCAAGCCTTGGTTCCTTACGCAGCCAGTGGAGAACTGTCACAACACCTCATTCTGAAGGCTGTCCTGAAAGGTACAGGAGCCTGAGCCCCGCATACCTTTGAGGATCTGGCACTGAGGGCTTCTGTGCCCTTTCTGCCTGAGGGAAAACCCTGGGAAACACACACGAAGTGAAATGCCACATAGTAACACCTGACTTAGCCCAAAGGCAGCACGGGCAGAACTTCAGAGATAAGACTTACTTCTGTTCATTTAACCATTTAAATGGTATCAGTTTTAAGCTGATAAACCAAGATTTCTCCACTGCCAAAATCATGCAGAAACAACGAGGGCTCATCATGGTATGGCTGCAAGCAGAATTTAGTAAAAGCTTCTCTGCCAAGAGCTCAGCAGTGGATTGTGTCCCAATAATGGATATGAGCAAGGACTCCCCCTCTTCCCCTGGGCTTTCTGAAATGACTTGGAAAAGTCTCCACTGTACAGCGTATCAACGTGGGTACCTCAGCAAGGCCTTCGCACTGGACGTGGGACTGAATCCATTCCAGCCTGTCCGAGTTCTCTTTCTCGCGCACCCCTTCGTTAACTTGAGAGCACAGCTCCTCCGCACGCTCCAAGGCAAGCTTGAGGTTACTGTGATCGGGGTGATTTTCTGGAGTGTTCTCTAGAATCTGGTATGGATCAAAAAGGGGAGAAAACAAGATCAAAACAGAAGTAAGCACAGGTGCTACTTCTCTGTGCTCTCGGAGAAATCCCCATAAAGGGACAAGGTTTTTTTTTGCTTTAGCTATTGAGGTCAAACTCAAAAGCATCCACCTACAAACCCTGGCTCAGGGTACTCACACTCTTTATAAGCAGAGGGTAGCGGGTTATTCTTTGCATAGGTTTCAGGAGGAAACTGGAGAGAGGCATTCCTTTGCAGCGAGGGTCCAAGGCGAGTTTCTATGGTACAACCCAGAGATTTAACAGAGACATTGCATTACTCATCAAGAAACAGTTGCCTCACTGCACTGAGAACTGTCTGATCAGATTCATTTTTCCAGGCATTCCAAGAAATTTTGAATTTTTTGACAAGCAAATACTTGTATCTAGAACAAACAGGAAAGGCGGTGCTGTCATTGTACTTGGATGCTTTGCCAGCGCTAGCCATAGGATCACTGTTCATGCAGAATCCTTACATTCAAAACCGTTCCAGCTTTTATTTTGACACTACAGGCTCCACTCAGGTTGGAAAAAACCTCCACAGCAATGAAAGAACCAAACAGCTGATGTCAATAGTTCTGGTGTTTCTCCTTTCATGGCCTTAAAGCCACCGCATCAGCAGCAATTCCTTATTTATTTCTGCAGCGTGCCGGCCCGTGACGCTCAGGGCACACCTCTGGCCCTGGCTGCAACCCCGCCGTTCAGACACACGGCACGCCCCACCGCATTACAACAACAGCCTTTTTATTTCAGCTCCACAGACTCTCACCCCTTCTGACAGCATGAATTTTTGGGAAGGTGCAGACACCAGCACCACAGCTTCGTGGGGTTAGCGTTACACCAAAGTAACGAGCAATGGAATGGGAAGTGGAGTAATAAATTGGCTAGAGAGAAAGACAGGTATATAAATAAAAAGCACACACAGTGTTAACCGTGGTCATCACAGAACTACACTACAGTTCTTAGCTCTTCTGCAAGATTTTACTCTTCTGGGTTATTTTGATCTGTCTGGGCTCCTGTCATTGAGGAAAGGAGAAGACACAAAAGCTACTGAATAAGATACCTTTAAGTAGTCTTTGAAATCAGCATCTTCATCAGTTTTCTGCTGCAGCAACGAAGCTCCATTAAGCTGGCAGCTGCAGAACCGAATGTAGGCCTGCATGTGAGAGAGCTCTGCTGCTAAGATGTCCCCAATCATCTGCACTGGCATTTTTTCTCCTCCTGTTTTCTTACGCACTCGCAAGGCTCTGAAGAGGAAAGAAACCACCATCCAACTCTGCTGCCAAGTTTGCAAGGCCGAAACCAAGATCCTTACAAGTTCCATTGCTGAAAGGACTCAAGCCTGCAAGGTGAATTCCCTTACACAGCACCGGTGCTTCCATGTGGTGCAGGGTCTGGCCTGAACCCTCAGGACGTCACCAGCACAACACACCGAGCTGAACCATCTGCCTGATGGGGTCTGCGGGACCGAGACTCTCCTTTGAGGTTTCTGGGACAATCGGCATCAATCTCTACATTCAACCACCACCCCATTTCAATGAATTATTAGCCCCTTGGTCTCTCCAAAGTTTATTTTTAGAGAACAGAAGGTTGCTTTGCAGAAAACTGGGAAGAACGCCTCCTGTGCACATGCTTTTGTGTGGGCTCTATTTCTAAGGTATTACAGCAAATGCACATCTGTTATTGCTGTTTATTCCTCTCTCTCTCTTAACAGCCCCTTCTTTGTGAGGCAGTCGGAATGCATTTAGCTGTTCCGAATGCACGCATGCACAGGAAATAATCAGGAAGGACAGAAATATTTACTGTAAAACCAGAAAACTTCCTGGGGAAAGCAGCAAGAGAATAAAGATGAAAACATAAAAATGCGGGTAAGTACTCACTTCAGTAACTTTGTATTTGACATGATGAGTTCCTTCCAGTTAACAAAGATCAGCCCCATTTCTCCTTCTGTGAGACAGCCTGAATCAGCCATTGGTTTTTGGAAAACCTGCAGTCAAAAATCAGAATGGTGAGCAATTCTTCAGAAACAAAAGCAGCTCAGCCTCTGGTTTAGCCTAGCAGCAATTCTGCTGTTTTTTGAATGTTCAGTGTCCACTTTCTTAGGAAAAGTTAAAAGCAATTCCTTACTAGTGCTTGTGACAGCTGTCGCTATTTTTCCTAAGCGTGTGACCTCATTCTAACACCAGCATCACCACTTGTGAAGCAGGGACAAGCACGATTTCGGAGTGAACTGCTACACAAATTACACTTACACATCACACCTGTCCCCACACCCAGAGCACTCACAGTCAGCCCGCATGCAGAACGACAGCTTCTTCCAGGGACCCTCAGCACAGTACCTCTGGAGAGCAGAAGACCTGTGTAATTCCATCTATTTAACACCTTTAACGCTTCACCACAGAGCTGTTTTATATCGAGAGATCAAGTCAGATGCCCAAGACCACCAAATGCTGGTCAGGTCCTGCCCTGCCTAGTGAGGTGGCCTTGCTTCCAGAAATAAAATCGGAGACAAAGGCAGACAATAAACTTTCATGGTGCTTGTACAGCTTCGGTCATGAGCCTGTGCAGCTTTGCCAGACAACCCAGCCCAGCCCGTCAGCTGTACACTGAGCCCAAACACCTAAGAACAGGATTTGGAAAATAGGAAGGTCTTTCTAAGACGATGGCTTTCACAATGTGATGTTTTTTCCTGGTGGACAACCACATAACATTCGCTAGAAAGGGAGGTGCTCCCACAACCTCGCTTTCCTCCTCTAGCATTTTGCAATTTGTACGAATCCCATTACTGCTATTATTCAGTCGGACAGAGGTGTTCTTTTCCCAAATGCGTTTTCACATCCAAGACATCTCACCTCTAAGACGAGCTGAAGATCGTCCATGTACCTCTCTTCCGTCTGAATGAGTTCATGAATGTAGCCCTGCCTCTTCCTTTCCATCGGTTGCATAGTGTCAAGGCTCTGGAGATCAGCACACCCTACAAGAAGTAAGCCAGGAGTTTAGATCCCACACGGGCCATCAGATCTGATGAGTTAACAAAATCGCACGAACATACACCAGCCTACGGCTCAGACTGTACACACAGCGGTACAACCCTGTCCACAGCAGCAGCGGGTGTCAAAACAGAGCGATGTAACGATCGACCCCCTCCCCGCTTTACGTCATTTTTTAGTCTGTCACCTTTTCATTTCTTCTAACATCCCTTGTTCTTGTACTGTGATGCAGATTAAGAATTCCTGACTTCCTGCCGCTCCGTTCATCTCATGATTTCTCTCATCTCTTCTCCTTTTCTGCCATACCATTTAGAAACTGAGATTTTCTCTTACCTTATGCATAGTCTTTTGTGAGATGAAGTCATCTAGAATGTGCCTGGTTCTGACTTACGGCACTGCACCTTTAATCTCCACCCCATTTCTGAAGTACTCTCCCCTGGTTATTAATTGGTGATACGAACCACCAGCACAGATTTGTAAAGTTATGATGCATAATGTTACAGCTGCGTAACTTCACAGTTGCACAACTTTTTTTTTTTTTCTCATTTAGAAACAAAATACACCTGCAATATGTTGAATTATTTTTATGCATCAAGTATGAATAATCAAAATCATGCACAGGAACACACAGATATTCAATGACACAAACCCCAAGTTTTCTGTAGTAACATGCGGACCCTACAGCCTCACACGGCTTCATCTCTGCTGTATGCAGGTTAGTAAGGATGGCAACGTTTGAGATGTAGTAACCGAATCAAAAACTGGTAAAAAACAAAGCAGTGAGTACGTTTAGATGGGTAAAGGAGAGCACAGAAAGGCAAACTCCGAGCCCTCTGCCAGCCGTCACGTGCTAGCAGAGTACCGCCAAGTAGCAGGGTGGGGAAAATAAAGAAACACGGAGCGTTTGAGAACATACATCTATCGCTTGATGTGATGGCATCGGATTTGAATGCAACGTGAACTGTGGATTTTGCAGGATAGCAGAAGGGAACATCGCAGGGACTCGCTTAGATCCGTCATTTCTAGAGGAACGACACTTTTTGAAAGTTTACAGGTGTTGTGACAGGTAGCGTGACCGAGAGCACGAGGGGCTGCATCTCCCCTGTCAGCCTAACACGCCTAGGACACTAGAATGTGACTTTATCCTATTCACTGCCAATGTATAGATCTGTTTATGGGAAGGCTGCTTTAGATAATGAAATGAAAATGAGTAATGGATTTTGGGGGGAAAAAACCCAAGAAAGACTAAACGCTTGGCTAAACTTGATGTGACAGTGGCCGAATGGGAACCTACCAGGCTTGTGCGCTTCCTCCTGCTGCAAAAGCAGCAACCTTCAGCAAAAGAGAAACACTTGTCAAATGAAGCTTTACGACACCATTCCAGGTATTTTAACAGGGAAACCCTTTGAAGAACAAGAAGTAGTAACACAATAAAGGCAACAGCTAGATTTAAGATCGGGATGTTTCAGTTCTGTGTTGCACCCCTAAGGACGATCACAGATCTTAAGCTTTTTTTGAAAAAAATGCCACTTTTTATGAAGAGATCTGGGACTGCAGCTCTTTGGATCATGCAGAATGCTGCTTCTGGCCTTAGTTATTCCCCAAAAAGTTACAATCAGGCCAAAATTAGGTGAGAAAAAGGAGTAAAGTTACAGATCAAAGTGATTCCTATGAAGTTTGGCATCTTAATCCATCAAGATGGACTGTGGCCAATGTGCACTACTTCTGGATTCTGGCGTCATTCTTTAGTCTGTACAGGACTGAGTTTAAGCCCACCTGGTTCCTAGGACATGAAATTTTACAATAACCAAGGGCTCGCACAGTAACCAGACTTTATTGTCCAGGTTTGGAAGTTTCAGCTTTGACCACGTGGTTCTCTTTTCTGCTGCACCGTACACTCCTGCCGCAAGAGCAGGGACGGACTGAAGCGCCTCTTGCCGTTTGCTTGGGCCACAGCTGTTGGAACAACCCACACGCTCCGATCTGTGTCTGTCTCATGCTCTCTACTTGAAGTTGAAGCAAGCACTAGAAGGAAAACAGGCCTTTTTTATGCACCTAAGATAGATTTGGTTTTGGTTTATAAGCTCATTATCAGCTACAAAAATGCAGTTAAATTAACTGGCTCCTGCGCTAACCTTGTATATGGACTGTCAGCTTTTGGGATGAATGGGTGAGTGCGGTTTTATATTTAAATAAGCATCAGTGAAAATGCCCCAAATTTTGATGGGGCTGACGATATTGGCACAAAAACGTAGTACGCAATCCACACATCTGATTTTAGAGAGTGAATTCAGGCATTTGGATCTGGAGGGAAGAAAGGCGAACGAGACAGAGAATAAAACCACCTACCCAGTGCATTTGCCAGTGTTTTTCTGAAGTGGCCATAGCAACCCACAGGCTCACCGGTAAGGAAAGGGTGGGCCTGCATCTTTACCCATTCTCCTCCCACATTCCTGTTCCCTCCTTTCCTTGCATCAATTCTGGCACTTATCTGACGCTCAGCTCACACCCTGGCAGCAAATGATTCCTCAAGGGAGAAAAAGAAAACAGCAGTTTTCTGCTAGTTTAGCGGCCAGGAATGTGCGTGGAAGCAGTAAAACTGCCTTTTTTTGGCAGCAGAAAGCTGTTGGTTCGGCTTCTGTCTTGTGAAGCTTCATCCCAAGCTCCCCACACGGCTAACGAAAAGCAGCGAGATTTTTGGGAGTGCCTGGGGAGGGGAACCTCAGCTGCCCACGCTGGGGGCTCACCTCCCTCCAGTGACTCAGCGAGAGGCTTCCATGGCCTCTGGAAAGGTCTGCCTCTTCCACTGAGAGTTCAGAAACCTGGGGCGTGGTCTGCCCAGCTCCACCTGGAGCGCAACACCTAACGGAGCAAGCAGTGGGCACCTGGTACCTTTGACATTTCGGGCACAGGGAGGGAGCGATGCCTACTACAGCTGTGGTACCTCGTGTGATAAATCCTGCTCTCCAGGACGAGTAAGCAGCTGCCTCACAGGGGCAGGGTAAAACAAGCTGGAGAGTTTATAAACAGGAAATCCCAGTCTCTGAAGTTATGGTTAAAATTATACTTCCCTCTCCAAATATACCTGAACAAGAAACACTTTCTTCCTACCAACATAACTCACACCCTGCATGAAAAACTACAGAGTTTCAGAGTCCAAAGATGTTCTTCTCTGCAGGAGACGCAAATGCCTGAAAAACATGGGGGGCTGGGGGAGAAAACCCTTTGCGTTACTGACAAATTTTGGATTTGAGTACGTTCAAGGGCAAGAATGAGACTTTCTGAAGAAAAGAAATCCCCCAATGAAAGAAAGATGAACGAGACCTAGCATCATTTAAAAAAATTTCCATTTTTTTATTTGTTAAAAAGGGGGAGTGAATTAAAAATTCTTCACTTAAAAGCCAATTCCAGAGAATTGAGGTAAAAAGCAGATGGATAAAAGGCTTTCAAAGATCCCCTGATCTGCTTGGGCAGCGAGCGCTTTGTCCCCTTCCCCAAACTCCCCACTCAATGAAAAAAACCCACATTAAGAATGACGCTCTGGAAAGACATCTTAAGCCTCAAACACGAGCTCAGGCACTTGTCCTAAAGGATGTATCGATACCAGAGGCACGGCTGCTTTGGGTGAAGACTGTTTAGGGGTAGAGGTGGCCTATATAAACTGCATTTATAAGGGAATGGTTTGTTTATGGTTGTGTTGGACTTTTTTGGGGGGTGAGGTTGATTGTGGGGTGGGTTTTTTTTGGTTGTTTTTTTTTTTTCTTTTTTTTTTCTCAAGTCAGTTGATACGGCTGGAAAAAGCAGATAAGGATTATAAGGATTGGTGTTTTGGGCCTGTATTCACCTGCCTCTATTTTCCCAGGCTATCACAGAAAGACTACATCTCACCTTAAGTACCATGGGCTGGCATTAAACCAGCCCCGTTAGCACAGCCAGAGAACACACCGATGGTACCGCGGGGCATCACCCACAGCCACTTCACAAGCTCTGCCCGCACACGTGAGGCTAACTCACTTGCAATGCACTCCTGTCGCTGCAGCTCTCAGCAGCTCCTGTGTCTAACGAAACCTGTGAAAGGAACTAATCCAAGAAATCTGCCACCGTGGAAAGGTTGGTTTCCATCAGGCCCTGGGAAACATAATAGAAAACTTTTATCCAATCTCCCCTAATCAGTAAATGCCGTATCCTCTCTCTGGTACAACAGAAGTTGTTTATGATTCAATTTTCAAGAGGTAAAAAGCAAAATCAAGTCGCTCCATCACAAAGCCAGGTAGCACAATGCTCATACCAAGCCATTCAGATGGGAACATATCCTCCCCAGATGGACAAAAAAACCACAACAGACAAACTAGATCCTTTTATGTGTCCCTTTAATAAAATACATTTGCATAGTTATCTTACAACTTTGTTTGAAAACAAAGATGAACAATTGCCTCATGCTAAGCACAGCCTGCATTTGCATGTCTTTTACAATCATCCTCAAACATTAATACTCTAGCTTGAAAAGAACAACAGGAGAGATTTTAAGGCAGCACACACCATTACGTAGCAGTTTTATTCGTTCATTACATCAAAGCAGCGTGACCCTGTAGCAGCTCCCAACACTGCCACAGGCCAAGGTTTGTCGTCATTCCTAGGAGCAGGCTTATTTACAGGTGTTTTCAACCCGACTCAAGAAAAATCACACAGGGATACGATCTGACCAAGCATCAAGAGGGCATAAATGTTCAATGACTGGTAGGAGACATTTCAATTATTAGTGCTCCTTACTGTAACATAATTAACACCGACGTTACGACAGCGCTTTGTATGCTTTCACAGCCCTTCACCATCACCGACTAGTCGCACACCCCAGCCCTGCAACTGGGTCTTGGTGGTGGCACAAGACTTTCCTGCATGGATCTGATGGCTGGATCGGGAACTCAGCTCTCTAAGCTAAGCTTTAGTAAAACTGGGCTTTCATAGGCTGTTAGTCCATTGCGCA